GTCAGATGACACTGAACAAAAATGTACTCTTATCATTATTATTACCATCTTCATCATCATCACCATCATCACCGCGATCGTTGTCATCGTCACCACGTCATTACTAAAATTAGCAGTAGTATCAGTAGTCAAAATATCATCATCATTAACATATACTTAATATATTATTGTTAACGTTATTATCACTGTAGATCCTTTTGTTGTAGAAATTATCAACATTGTGATTGTAAGCATTATTTATTTATTTTTTGTTAGATAATCAGTTTTTGATGTTGTTTTTATTTTTCAGAATGCCAAAATCCTTCCTTTAATAACTCTTGGTACATATTTTCAGAGAGGGGAAAAACATGGGACGTAAATCAACGCACCTGCCGAAACCAAGGTGGAGACCTGGTTTCCATCGAAACTAGAAGAGAATGGATGTTTATCGATAAAGAGATTCGAAAGCGCTTTTCTAAGTTCTATCATATTGGTTTGGAAAGAAAGGCTGACATGTGGACTTGGTTGAGTGGAAGACCGCTGACTATTTGCCACTGGGGAAAAAACCGGCCAACACCTAAGAGAGATGTGGCTGTTATACTCAAGGTGTCTACAAGCGACAAACAGTGCATAATCAATTTCTTCCGTAGAAATATGTCGGCGGCTTATATCTGTGAGATCTCCAACGGTAAGACAAAACTATTTCATATCGGGCGGGATAATAGCAACGTTATCGTACAATTTTTAGGAATCCACGTGATCATAACAGAAGATATGAAGCTTCTAACAAGTTTTCACTTCTAGTTGCATGGGTAGAATAAAGTTGAGACAAGGTTAAAGAACTGATTGTCACCATATACATGCCTGAGTAGTGAAAAAGCTAGAGGTTAATTACCGACCGTTTGTTTACCAATCATCTCATCAACATCACGGGTACCACCAGTTGAAATAAAATTAATAATGATGATAGACTAAACAAACAATTATAAACTTCTGATTATTATTCATCTTAATCTTTGATGTTTCGATTGAACAAGGTGATGTTTAATTGCCTGCTCAAACACCCACTCCAATATGTCTGCACGATTATTACGCCTGATGATTCATATTAGAATTTCAGGAAGACGGCGAGTTTCGATCTAGGGTTGTAAAGCTAGTTATCTTTGAAAAGTAACTTACGGATAGCGTTTCCAAAGATACACGAACTTTCATCATCTCATCATTTAACAAAACAAACATCTAAGA